AAAACACATACAAAGATCTTAAAACAAGAAATATAATAGTTTTGGAAATTCAAAACTCTTTATAACAAAATATGGGCTTAAATGTAGTATTGTGATTAATAAGTTCAAGATAAATATGTGCTATGTACAAAATGCAGAACGACAGCCAACAGTTTTGCAGACAGCATTTGCTGGAGGAGCAGCTGGTGCGGTTACACGAGCAATAGCACAACCTCTCGATGTACTGAAAATAAGATTTCAATTACAACTTGAACCTATAAAGAGAGGCTCAAAATATAGTTCTATTGTACAAGCATTGTGTTCAATCGTTAAAGAAGAAGGTGTATCTACACTTTGGAGTGGGCACATACCAGCACAATTACTATCAATATCATATGGAGTTTTACAGTTCTCTATTTTTGAAAAACTGACAGAATTATGTAGAAGATCTGATCCCAAGTTCTATATTGATCATAAGCATTGGTTAAACTTTGCCAATGGTGCCACAGCAGCTACAGTGGCAACAATAGTCTCCTTTCCTTTTGATACAATAAGGACTAGGTTAATAGCTGAGCAAAAAACACAGAAAGCCTACAAAGGATTTTATAATGCTTTTTCTGTAATATACAAGACAGAAGGTACTAAAGCATTATTTAAAGGAATTATTCCTACATTGGCTCAAATAGCACCACATGCTGGAATACAGTTTGTTGTATATAAATTCCTAACAGATAATGTTTTCAATAGAATAAAAAATTTTCAAAGAAATACTACCCTAGGGGAAGTTGTTGGATCATCAGTATTAGCAAATTTCATAGCTGGTGGTATTGCAGGTATAGTGGCTAAAACTACAATCTACCCATTTGATGTGGTAAAGAAAAGGCTTCAGATACAAGGTTTTCAACAGCATAGGAAGAATTTTGGGAAACAAATGTATTGCAGTGGGTTATTTGATTGTATTAAACTTACAATAACAGAAGAAGGGTTTCTTGCGCTTTATAAAGGATATGGACCTAGTGTTCTCAAAGCTATCTTGGTTTCAGCATTACACTTTGCTGTGTATGATGAGATCAAACATTTTATTTTGAAGTTGTGATGTTAGTAAGGGTATTTTTTTATAACAGGGCATTATGTGGCTCTTGGTCACAGAAATTTAGTATAGCGTATGTGAGGGTAATATGGTCATCAGGTTAATATAGTCACTTTCTTATAACTCAAAAACTACAGCCTTGTTTGCAAAGATAGCTCTATGATACAATATAAGAGATATTCTCAGACAATCAAATAATAAAAGGTCAAAACAGCGCTGCTTTATCAATGGCATTTTGACAATAGTATATGTTATATGTGGTAGAGCCATGCTGCAGCTATATTAGTAGTATAGTTTTAGCATGAATGGGTCTGCTCGACCAGGGAAGGACCACACTCTCACAAAATACCAGTGTGAAATAGTAGCTTAATGCTGCTGTATTTCGTATGGTGAGTGTAAAGAACTGGAGACCCATTTTTCTGGAAAAGAGGCATTCAATCTTAGTCATCTGCATCTGCATTTTCATTCTTTATTGAGGATAAATATAGATCTCTATGGGTCACAGCATCCACTTACCATTAGCTAGACTGTGTGCTCGGTCTTTTCCCTATCTTATAAAAAAAATATCACTTACTGTTTTTTTAAAGTAGATTTTTCAGTGCTCCTAATTACTGCCAAAGCTTGTTTCTATTTTTTTTTATATATTAGTTATACTATAAGTCTGTGTGTTATTGTCTCTTTGCTCCTCCTAGTTTAGGTTTTATAGGGTGGCAAAGCATATGGTGACCATATTACCTTCAAGTACACTTGGCGTTGAGCCTTAAAGATTCATTTATTCAATACACCCCATCAAAAGTCCACTACTGAACATAGACCTCCCCCATAAATTGCCTTATTGGGGGATATTTGTCATAATTGCCACATCTGGTGATCTTTAACAGGTATGGTGGCAGCCACAGGTTATTTATTAGTATATTTATGAGTAATCATAAAGAAGACTGCTGCCTCCTAGTTCAGTTTCCCCTTGTTGTCTCTGAAGGCACCCTGGGGATAGTATGGGGAGTGGAATCTCCTATGTCCCGAATATAAACCTCTCATGAAGACTGCCGCAAAATTCTGCCCTGAACTATATGCATCCATAGACATTCTCCTGCTCATTTTATCAGGTGCCACTCTAGTGGCAGCAATGCACTTGACATGATGAGGCTTCCTCCCTCACTCAGGAATCTTGTTTGTTAAGAATATTTTGTTACAATGTACATTAATTAATAAACTCAGGTCTTTTTGTTTGATCAATTTCCTTTAAGAATTTGTGTTTTAAGTAATTAATAGTAAGCTTAGTTTTTTTTTCTTATCAGAATTACAAAAAGTAAACCAGATTTATGCAGAGGGTGCTTTGTATGTGTCTGTAGGTGTATGTAATATTTATTATAATAAAATATGAACTATAGTAATATTTTAAACACCTCTATTATTTTGTCACACAAATTATATTATCATTATAACTTCTTAAAAAAAAAATCAGGAATCTAATCAGGTATATTAATTGGTTTTAGTATGTTTTTATAAAATAAAATTTAAACATTGTTCATTTAGATGAAACAGAGTATAAAGAGTGTTGGTGTGACTGATAATGATTGTGTAACTTCTACAACTTTATCGATTGAGGTCATATTCACACAATAAGTCTATTGGTTTTGTTAAAATTGATGGTTTAAAGCTATTCTGGAATTCCATAATGGTTGCCTGTATTCACAAAATCCACAACTTAGTAGAAATTTAGACTTTTTAAAGAATAGAATTAAAATAATTATACAATATAAATTTATTATTATACAGTAAGCGCCGTGGTAGCTCAGATGGTTAGCGCTTACTGTATATTTCACAGTACGCGAGCACACCGGGCTCGATCCCCACCGGCACCAATGAAATTTTTAAATGCAATTTTAAGTGCTGATTTACCACATGCTCGGCGGTGAAAGAAAACGTCGTGAGAAAATCATGCAGATTTCCTACTATGGCAAGTGGCCCAATGAGGCGATCTATAGGGAGGCTTATGTTCAAAAGTAGACGGATAGGCTGTAATGAAAAACATGAATGAACTGCACTTCAAAGTTCATTAGCTGATATTAGTGTACTGCTAGACATGGGTGTCTACCGATATAAAGATGGTATTTCTTAATAGCTACGTTTGGCCGCAGGATGGGCAATCGCAGCACCAGATGTCTTGCACCATCGACGCTGCTGCCGTTTGTTTTTTATGTCTGACGTAAACTGGTCATACTACCATCTGTCAGGAGCCATCAGAATTTTCTGGTAATTCCCTAGTCTCCAACGACACCCACGGGACGAAATTGGGTGAAGGATTCTCTTCTGCCTTCAATACTCTGCAATACAGTGCTCTGTATTGTGTATGATCTGTGCTAATATTATTTACCTACAACTAACGCCCCGCCGGCTTCGCGTGGATAGGGTGTAATATACCCTATCCACCACGCATACAATAATATACCCGGTATATTATTGTGGCGTTATTTAGATTTGAAACCACTGATTTTATAAATTTTATTTTTTCAAATTTTTCGGATAAATTCTAGATCCCTCCTGGTAATTCCTAGATCCCTCCCTATCTGTTCGTAAAATAGTATTACAATCGCTTCGGTTCAGACAGACAATTTTTTTTTGTTGTATAGGATAAGGGTGACAAACGAGCACACAGTCCACCTGATGGTAAGTGGTTACTGCAGCCCATAGACATCTACATCTATCCTCGATTACTTACGAATCAAAATTCAGATCTATGCGTTGTCAACCGTGAGGACTAAAGGTTGGTGTACGCTAGACGAGCCGAGCACGAGCGGAGCATGAGCCAAGCACAAATTCGTGTAGTATGGCCCGACTTACAAGCCTCGAACGAGCGCGCTTCGAGCGTTTGGTTCGTGCTCGACCGTGCTCCGCCTATTGTCGGTTTTTTGACAAACACATTTTGCATCGATTTGCATGTTGTAGGCTCATTGTACGTCCACACTTGACACCGTTAGTAGAGCGGCTCAGCTCGTGATCGGCTGCTCTAGCGTAGACCCACCTTAAGATGGATTGCCTCGTTTCCAGTAAAAAGGGTCTTTAAAAAATTATTAGTTATTGATATCTTAATAACATGCCAATAACCCCCTGAACTTAATATAAGCCAGTTATTTCAACATTATAGACAGAGACTTCAATTTTATTTATAGTATATAGTATATATAGTATTTTTTTTACAGTATAAATATAAGTACCTGGATGACCGAGCTTTGCTCGGTATTTTTTTGGAAATCGTGTGTTTTGGAAATTATATTTAGATACAAATTACATACATAAAAAATATTATTCATATTTCATTAAATAATATTTTTTGATCTTACCGTCATAATAGAAAAAACTGAACTGGTTATTTGAATAAAAAATCATGAGTGCAATTAGTTTAATTTAAATTTTCGTGTTTTAAAAAAAATACTCGATACAATAGATTTTCTCACAAAAGAAGGGAACTTGAAAAAAAAAAGGCAAAAAAGTCGGGCTGAAGACAGGACTCGAACCAGGGCACTACGATTTCCGGACTGCCCGATATCCCATTTGATCTATTATAATCATTAATACATTGCCAAAATTTACCTTCTTATATTGTAGTAGTTTTTCATTGCTTCAAAACACGGACAAAACGACATTTTCTAAAAATGAATTATAGCTAGGTCGATTTATTGCCCCTGAAACCCCCTGGATACCAAATTTTATGAAAATCTGGAGCAGTTTCCGAGATTCCGATTATATATATACAAGAATTGTTCGTATTAGATATTATGTATTTTTTTTTCAAAATGTTGCAGTATCTTTTATAAGAGATGCTAGGGAAATAATTACACACAGATCGAAAATCAAAGTGCTATATTTTCAGTCATGTTTTGCTATGTTACATTTTAAATCATATAGTGCGCTTATAATTTACATAGATCTAACCATACGATACAATATAACCCATATTTCTCATCAGCGTGTCCTTTATTGCAGGCTGCAACTCTTTCTTCATGTACGTAGTTAAAAGAGTACGTATTCCTTTAGTAAATATATCCTCCATTTCTCTTGAAATATCTTCCACTTCGTCCAAGTCATCGTCAGGTCGGAACAGTTTGCTTCTCTCGTAGTTGACTCTGCTACGAGGTTCATACGTGCTCCATACATCGGAAGATTGTCCTAAAGCATCAGAATAAGTATCCATATGCGGATCAAATGTGAACTCATCCGATCGTTTCCTTCGCCTTAAGGGAAGGTTACTTCTAACTGAATTTTTGTTAATATACTTTTCACAGCCGTAGGCGTAGACGCTTATAAATCCAGGTTCTACGAACTCCGAGTCAGTTTTTACGTTGAATTTTCCCGGTTGCTGGTTCAAAGGAGTGGTATGGAATCCTATACCGGCCTTTCTTAATCTCAGTATCATGTTACAGCCCCGAGATTTTGAGTAGGGGTCAGAGTGAATGTCTTGTTCGGCGTAGTTTCTTCGCAGTCTTCTGCTAGATGGTACCGTTCGATCGAAATCGTTAGCGTCATACAAATCCACGTTACCGCTAATTGTTATGTCATGGAAAAGTAGCATTGTCTCCAAAGACACGTTTCTAGGATCGAAGTAGCACTTCTCGACGCGCACCCAGTTGCTGTTCTGCGGCAGTCGCACTCTCATTTTTGTTACGTACATATCCACTGGTGCGCTCCTCATTTGCTGGTGCATACTGTAGCCATTCAGATCGATGCTCCGACTCTGCAATTATTTAAGGTTTGTTATTTGAACTGTAAACATCACACACATTTTTTATAGCATTGGGTGATAAACGAGCATAGTCCACCTGATGGTAAATGGCCCATCGACATCCACATTTCCCCTTAATTAAGAATCACAATGTAAATGCGTTATCACCCCTGAGGACTAAGATGGAATGCCTCGATTTCAGTAAAAAGGGTGTCCGGTTCTCTACACTGACCATACAAAACACAGCAGCATTACGCTGCTATTTTACGCTGGTATTCTGTGAGAGCGTGGTCCGGCCTCTGTTGAGCCCACCCATTCGTGCTACAACTGTACTACTAATGCAGCATGGCTCTACCACGTACAACACATCTTATTACTTTAAATGAGCAATTTTGGTGTATACATATATTATGATCGGTATAGTGTACACAACGCACCGATTAATCTTTTTTTGTTTAAATGACAGTCCTACGCCCTCCTGTTGAATAGAAATTCAGCAATACATATAAGGTATTAAAGATCATAAAAATTAATTTGCTAACATCCGCGTAATAAAATGAAATGTGTCTTACCTTGTTTAAAAAGCACCTCTCGCCCTCCCGCAATTGCGTGCGCTATCCCCGTCACCACTAATCCCAGCACCACTACTCCCAACACCAATACACTAAGAAATACACACCACGGTCGTTAATACATTAGTCTACTTTACCTGAGGACGTAGAGACGAAACACGGATAATTTTTAAGATCTTTAATATAATGGAGATCCGCATAGTAATGCCTAATTCTATTGATTAACAAATGAGGTAATTTAAAGAAAGTAACAATATAAAGTCTTGAAAAGCAAAAATTGATATTTTTTTATAGGAGAGGTGGCAAACGAGTATACGGCTCACCTGATGGTAAGTGATTACCACCGCCCATGAACAACTCCGACATCAAAAAAGGAATAGGCTCTTTTCTAGAAGGTCTCTAAGTCGTATCGGTCCGGGAAATTCTTTCAAATTGCACAGAGTGTGTTATACTAAAATTACCAATGACCATTAATATTCGAAACCTTTTTTAAAGTGGTAAACTTCTGTTCTAACTGTTCTGGGGAAGGACATGTTATGTCGCCGCTTACTAACTATAATCCCACGATGATCACACTCAGTGCTGACGTGGACCCACTGGATCTCCGTACAGAGCAACCGAGACGATCGGCCCTCTACAACTATTCTGTAAATTCACTCCGTTCCGTGGTTGCTCACAAACAGAATCAAATGTAACAAACTCCCGTGATACTGTTACGTACCACGTCAAAAGATCGTCCTCCACAGGGTTATTTTATTGGGTGGTTGGAGCTCCCACACTTTCCTGCCTGTCATTGTGACCCCAAAGGTCCCGTGTGTTATAGGAGATATCATTGACAAGAGGGCCGTGACGAAGCAATGAACGAATATTCGAACACTAGACTCGATAGACAAACACGCTAACCGTACTGATTCAGCAGATCTTATAATCACTGTAAACATAAAATGCACCATACCAAGGGCATATCGAAACTCTTAGAATGATGCCTTTTTCGACGTTTCAATTGATTCAAAGCAGATTCCAGTCTAGCTGAACATTTCTCCCCTCCAATCGGAACAGATGTCAACGGTGGTAGCCCGCCTGGACCTAGGGCCACGCTGGGGCTATGTCTGCCATCAAAACGTTTTAATTCAAACAATGGAAGAAATCTTGATTCTGAAATTTTAAAAAATTATCTGTTTATGCCAATAAATGTATGTATGTAGCAACATTATTAAATGCTATTATAAATATTTATTAATTTATACATTGTTTATTGTATTTTCCATAACGAAATCATACAAAGGACAGATTTAATGTCTTTTGGTATTTTTCACTTATTAACCTAAATAATAATTGGAAATAATTTCAATTAATTTGAAAGGCCCTAGATTTGAACCTAAAACGTTCAGTTTACAGAATAAATTATTTTAATTTTACCACTGAATAACTTCATCATATATTCGTTCGTTCCTCTGACACACTATAAAGAAATTGAAAGTTTAAAAGCGGCTATTTCCCAAAGCGACCCTACAATTTCTTTTCTCTCCTATTGTCTTGTGTTCAACACCGTAAAACAGTTTGTAGGTTAACCTAGTTGCAATTAACTTTTACATTTAATAAATTATATGATTTAGAAAAGAACTTACTTACTTAGTTAAAAATAATCTATATACACACCAATCACAAAATTTATTTTGGCAAAAATTTAATAAATTGTGAAACTTTTGACGTTTTAACAACATTTCTATTAACTAATATTTATAAAGTCAATTAAACCTACAACAAAACTTCTAAATCACATATTTATTATAGCTAATATCATAATAATATTTGCAAATAGAAAAAGGGAGCTTATTAAAGGTTTTTATATTCACAGATTTAAAAGTAAAGTATATTATTAGTTGTTATATCTTAAAGCTTAGTAAACTTTAGGCCTACCTTTTTGAGGTTCTTCATCGATCAGTTCGTTATCATTAGCCAATACCGTTTTCGCAAAAAATACAAACATCCACCACAATGTCACCATTTTCACCATGAGTAAACATGAAACTTAACGTTTGATGTGCAGTACTTAATCCGTGTTTGGTTTAATGTGAACGAAAAGAAAAGTGTAAAAATTGAATTGGCGCGCAAATAGACAATGGCTTCCATTCACCTTGATGCCGAGACGAGTAATAAAATTGGATATAAGAAATGCAGCCAGTGGAACTCAATCCCCCATTCAGCAAGCTACCGTACTTTTAGATGTTTACGTTTTGTTACAGGTGCATATGTAGGTGGGTTTGATCATTGCTGTTCCCACAGAGATTAATTATGGTAGATTAGTAGACCGAATAATACTAGATGTCTTCACTTATTTCATTTCCATTGACTAATTAGTTTGAAGGTATTTTCGACCGAGTTCAAAAATAGGAGGAGGTTCTCAATTCGACTGTACCTTTTTATGTGTGTTAACTCAGAACTTTTTTCTAGGTGAACCAATTTTGATGATTCCTTTTTTTATTTGAAAGCTGGTGCTTCTCATGTGATCCCATATAAATTTGATTAAAACTTGACCAGTAGTTTATAAGTTTTCCTTTATAATACGTACTTAATTGACTTCGACTTCATTGATGATGTTCTCATTTTATTTACATTAAAATCGTTTGTACAAAATGTTTAATTTTAAAACTTGTATGTTTAGTTCAATTCTAACTGTGTAAAGACAGAGTCCAACAATCTATACAGACTTCGCATATTGATATGAATAATGAATATATTATAATAGAATTTTATAGTGTTTTTAATTTAACGTTACAATACCTACCTACATTTCTATTGTCTTCTATAACGTGGTCAAGTTGTCATAGTGCCCTTACTACGCTATGGGTCATGGGTTCGAAACCCCATTGGACATAATTTATATTAAAAATGCACTGATTATGTAGTATTTTTGATATTGTATTCTAATTTTATCGAAATTAAGGCGTTATGTTGAGTCCGGGTGTGTAGACGAGTCAAGCGTCTTTAAACATCCAACTATTTGAGAAACTTGACGTCCTGTATCAATCATTTCGCTTTAGGAAATAATCTCTTTTAACACTGATCTGCTCGGGCGTAGCAATACTCGCGATGAAAATAATTGTAGCTGGCTTACCACCAGGTGAACTTTAAGTTTTTTGGTAACTTCAGTATCATAAAAAATTAGTAATTACTTTTTTATTAGATCTCGTTTTTCATCTATCGTTACTTTTTTACGTTTAATCGTAAACAATCCCGATTTGTTTGAAAGTTATTTTGATAGGTAACGATGAGTGACTCTGTAAATGACAGCGTAAAGCCGTAAAGTAACAGTTTAATTCTGCTGTGTTTCGCATTGTAATTATATATATATATATATATATATATATATATATATATATATATATATATATATATATATATATATATATATATATATATATGAACCGGATACCCTTCCCATTCCCATCTTTAAAAATAAGAAGTTTTATTAAAGCGCGTGATATATTAGTTCTAGATATTATTCCTAGATTCGTTAAATACAATAAAGGTTGTCTAAATATGTGTATTAGAATATTTAATAAACTACCTAAAGAATTTAAATTGTTAAGCGAAAGATTATTTAGGTAACATTTCATTAAGTGGCCGAAAAAAAACCGAATGTTTTTATGACGTTATAGATTTTTTAGATAGTAATTTATTAATATTGTTGATTCTGTATTTGCATGCTATGTACCATTGTTAGCGAAACACAAGTGCACTAGATAAATTGTAACATCTTTTTAAACCGTGATTCTTGCTAATAAAGATTTATGATTTACCCTCTATACTGAAAACGAGTCATTCCCATCTTTGTCCTCAGAGGTGACAACGTATCTGTATTTTGATTACATATGATATGGCATAGCATCTACTAACTATGAAATGTACTGTGTGCATAATTGTTAGTCTAGCACAAGAATTTTAACAACGCAATAACACAAGAACCAGACAATGTGATTGTGTCGCCAAATAGCAGTGCACGCACTAGCTGTGTTCTGGACTATTGGGCTTAGGGAGCCGGTATAATTCCAGACTGTAAAGGCATTCTATTTTTGTCCTCAGAGGTGACAATGCATTTCTAAACTTGTTTGAAGTTATTCTTATAGTCATATAAGTGGTAGAGGCATGCCGCATTTATATTAGTAGTATAGTTGTAGCACGAATGGGTCGGCTCGACCGGGGAAGGACCACGCTCTCACAGAATACCAGCGTAAAATAGCAGTTTAACGCTGCTGTGTTCGTATTGTGAGTGTAGAGAACCGAAGACGCTTTTTACTGGAAACGAGGCATTCCATCTTATTCCTCACGGGTGACAACGCATCTGCATTTTGAGTCGTAATCGAGGATAGATGTAGATGTCTATGGGCCACAGCATCCACTCACCATCAGGTGGAATGTGTGCTCGTTCGTCGCCCTATCCTATAAAAAAAGTTGACTGCGGGTGTCCAAGGACCGAAGTAGCCACTTACCATAAGGTGGGTTGTAATTTTTTTTTGTCAAAACTTTTATCAGAGAAAATATAAGTATAAAAATCAGAGAGGGCACATGAATTCCGACAATGGCGGTATATAATCTTGTATAGCAGATAAAGATTCTCAAGTAGCAGTCTCGTACTAGAAAGCGCAGTGTTGGTCTACCCCTAGTGACGACCTTAACTTCGTCACTAGGGATGTTTCACTTGCTTTGTGGTAGTCTGTGGGAAAGGCTTGTTCAGCTGTGGTCTTGTGTTATGATAATGATGATAGCAGCGACGGTGATCAGTATCAAACAGCGAAACATCTAGCAATGAGATCCTTAATCCGAATGCCAAACGTGGAGATATGGAAAATTCTCTCTACTATGTGGAGGTCAATCTGTGGATTGATAAAGAAAGAAGATTTTTTTTATAGAGGATGAGGCAAACAAGCATGCGGCTCACCTGATAGTAACCGTTGACCGCTGCTCATTAACAACGGCAACACCAGGAGAATTGCAGGTTGCCGGGCTTTTAAAAAGGAATAAGCTCGTTTCTTGAAGATCCCTAAGTCGTACCGGACCGGAAAAATTCACAGCGAAGTTGTGCGAGGAAAAAAACTTCTAGTAAATAGAAGCCAAGCAGCCAGATGATGTGGATGGTAACGTGAGTTTTGACGCAATGTGCGTTGGTGAAATTTTTTCGCCACCAATTCGAGACTGTTTAATAAAGACCCGACTTTATACAGAAGTTTGTTCCGGTACTCGACGACGCGTTTCCGGCCGGTATCATCAGTGCTGTCGTCCGTATAGCAATGAATGCTACATATCATTGATATGCAGAAGAAACAGCATACGTGATAGCACGTTATTTTGTGGAAGACCATTACTGATAGGCTTGCAATCGGAGCATGCACCGTCTATTACGACCTTACTGCTCCGATCTGCTAAGAAACCGGTGATCCAATTGCACAATTTCTCAGGAAGCTCATAGGAAGGAAGCTTCGAAAGAAGCGCTTAATGCCAAACCCGATCGAAGGTTTTCACAATGTCCAAACTAACGGCCAATGGCCTCCCCTTTGGATTATACTGCCTCCGCCCATCTATGAGTCAGGTAGACTAGAAGATCACCAGTTGATCTACCTATGACAAAAGTTTCCTGGGACAGCCTTGGCGAGAAACCAGAATGCACGGGTTCCCGAAGAAAGGCAAACTAGTTTCTGGCTAATTGAGCCGATGTGCGTAGACTTCGCCTTGGCAATAACTATTGAAGGACTTGGAGGTGGAATTATAATTAATTTTAAGAGTGCTGCAGTGTTTACATCCCGGGACGTTGATGCGTCAGTCCAGACCTATTAGCACTCCTCCTAGCGTGATGCTATTTTAAAAGAGCGACCGAACCATGGTTATAGGATCTGCCTCCTATAGGCACCACAGAAGATGGAATAAAAAGTCCCAAACTATGAAGTATCAGGAATCAGCACTTTTGTGTGCATCAGCATTATTGGGGTGGGTTTGCTTTAGATCAGAAGCAAACCCACCCCCCTAGGGTAGGATGCGGAAAAAGACCGCATCCTATCCCAATTGACCGACCTATAATTGTAGCCAAGCTGCCGCGTGGTTTAACAGTGGTAGGTCTGCTTTTGCTGTCGCGTGGCTCTACCAGCTTCTACACGTATACTTTATATACTTTTTACAATTATACACTATTTACAATTTTATTGTATTTGTACAGTTTCTATTATATTATAAGTACAATAAATATGAACTCATTATACCTATAAAGAAAAACAAATATAATTCACTTATAATACTTCGAATAACAAGAAGTGTATTCTCTGATTAGTTTGTGGATAATGATGAATAATTTTTATTTTGAAAATATTATCTCTTAATCAAACTTTCTACATTAATTTATCGAGCTATTATAATTATATATTTATAGAACATACAACAGAAACTACTCTTTATCTCAGACGACATCAAAATCTCGCCGAGCTGTAAGTAGACTGTAACGAAATCGTATAAAAAGAAATTAGGTTATGGCGTTACAAATTGTAGTCTCGGAATGTTAGGATTTGTATAGATTTTCAAATATTGACTCGGACACTAACACTTAGGATTGTTTTCTTTCTTACAAGTTCATTTTAATTTTTACCAGCATCTTTAAAATTCGGTCCAACACACACCAGAGAGAGATGAGACGCTAAGTCAACGCGGCACGGAGGTGGAACACTGCTAATTTCCTGACTCCGGGTCGCTACTGAGAATTTCTTGACGGAAAACCCCAATAGTTTATTTTTGACATTTTCTTTTGCCTCTACCAACACCCATGGGATGAAATTATCAAGCTGATGCAAAGCAAGTGGTATCTCACCAATGCCGATATAATTTCATCAAAATTATAATCATTATACATTATACATTGACCATCTTATGTACCATGTTTTAAGCAAATACATTTTCTACCTATCTGTCTATCTATATGTTATTTTATTGATTCAATTGTTAACAACCGTTAATAATACAAAT